GGAGAAGACATCAACCTTTTAGTCATGTCAGCCTTGTAAAATATAGCATAGTCCCTAATGCATTCTTTGAATACATATATCTAGCACAAAAGTTTCAACAAGCCAATCTTTATAGTTGAGGCTAAGGTTTCTCCATTAATGAATGTAGTTAATAACAAGTTTTTCCTTCCACTAACGTGCATTGGTGAGTTCAATCATGCTAACCACATGATGCATGATGAGTGCTATAAAAACAGTTAAAAAAACTCGTGTTTTAATTACTGCCAAGTATCGATCTAGCTTGACTCCAAGTTAATATACTAGTTGAAAGCATTACCAGTTGAAGGCATTACCTTTCAAGGAACAAATAAACTGTTTTACTATGAGATCATCATCAGTTCTGGCATTGTTGCAAGTCTCTATAAAGTGAGCTATATATTGTTTAGGATTCCCTTTGCCATCAAATTGTTGAAACTTTGGTGGTTGATAGCTTATAAGCATCCTTAATAGGTCAATTCTTTAGGTGTACTGCTTTGCATAAAAATATGAGGGTTGAACTTAGCTTTCTACTCAGTTTGTGATGACTTCTTTAATAAGTTCTTTTAGTTGATTCATGGTGAAGATGTCATCAGTAATATAACATAAAAGAAGTTTGAGTTCTATAGAATATAAGTAGGCTTGGTAGAGTTGCTCAAATGAGTTGGGAGGTGGCAATCGAAGGCATTACCTTTCAGGGAATAAATAAACTGTTTTACCATGAGATCACCATCAATTCAGACATTGTTGCAAGTCTAAACAAAGTGAGCTATATATTGTCTAGGATTTCCTTTGCCATCAAATTGTTGAAACTTTGGTGGTTGATAGCTTAGAGGTATCATTAATAGGTTGATTCTTTAAGTCTATTATTTTGCATAAGAATACAAGGGTTGAACTAAGCTTTTTAATTAGTCCGTGATGGCTTCCTTGAAAAGATTTTTTAGTTGATTCATGGTGAAGATACCATTAGTAATATCACATAAAAAAAGTTTGAGTTCTATAGAATATAAGCAGGCTTGGTAGCGTCGTCCAAATGAGTCAGAAGGAGGGTAATGAATGGGCTCAGTCTCTTTTTTAGGCCATAACCTCTATAAACTAAGTAAAATAATAACAAAATTTTGGCTTAGTTTTAAGTTAGTGGCCAACATATATAAAAAGAAAATGAGAGATAAGGATAGCTTAAATAGTCTTTGTTCAAACTTTAAGAGATAGTTGATTTATCATTGGAGTTTTGATAATAAATTCCAGATACGTAACTCATTTTTAATTTAGCTTGTTCTTCAAATAAGTATGATTATAGTTTTATGAGATTCTTTTCAATCTTTTCTCTTCTCTTTAATATTGATGCATCCCAAGAAATGTTATTTTTAATTATTTATGTTACATTCCCTAGTTTTAACTAAGAAATAATACTTATATCCATTATTATTATTATTATTATTATTAGCTGAAGTTTTTAAATAGACTATGATATGATAGTTTTTTTTTATAAAGAAAAAAAATCTTAATATATTAATTTATTATGATTTATTATTTAGTTTTGTTTAGTTTATTTACTGTTTAACCCTGTATTAATTGCATAAAAAGGGGAAAAGAATTGGTTCTTTGAATTGTGAATTTGGTTATAATGATGTATTTTCCCAACACCTTGGAAGATATGTCATATCCGTACCAGTATTTCGCTACTACATTCTCGTATCAGAGGCAAAGCCCATACTTCAAAGTAAAATAAGAAGTGAGATTTCATTGAGAGAAACTGTAAAAACCTGAATGTTACTGCTAATGAATGGTAATATGTAAACGCGGTCGTATGGCAGGTGAGACTGGAGATCCTTCACTGCTCTGGGAGTCTCCCCGCCACGGATCCTGAACTTGAGCAGCATACTGCAAGTTCCATAGTATATCCTCAACGGAGGGTCTATCTGCAGGGTTCTTAAGCAGACAACTTACGCAGATCTCCATCATTGTCTTTAGGGATTGATCTGAGCATGATCTTCGCACAACTGGATCAACTATGCTACTTCGAGCAGTATCATCACTTGTAATGCTTGCTTGCAACTGCACAAGTTTTACACAGAAATATTTAACTGTAAGACAATCCTGAAACTAGGACGAGGGCATCAACTGAAATACGTTTTTCTGAAGATTCAAATACATAAATCAAAGAAAAATATCTGTCACCTGATCTTTTAGAACTCTCACTTCATTCTTAGATGTCAATGATCTTCCCACAATGATTTCAAGCAATATTAATCCAAAGTCATAAACATCAACCTTCTGGTCTTGATTTATCCTGTTCAATAGCAACATTCAAAGAAAAAATCATCATGGGACTGATTACTCTTAAGTGTTTAGCTTTCTTATATACCAGTTTCAACAGACTTATGAAATTTTGCATCCATTGTAAATGCCGCTCTGTTTTATCTATGTTGACTTCCGAATTATGCGACAAAATAATAAATTCAAACTATTTTATCAGTTTGAACCAGCCTAACCCTCAAAACATATCAGCAGTCAGATCTAACCTTGCACTGGTGCTAAGATCTTTGGATGCACCAGATGATGTTCCATGGACAACCTGCAACAATGAATTTGTTAGGTATCAGCTTCTAAGTGTGGCTTGATGGAAAAGAAAAACAGCTTCCATGACGGGGAAAGAAAATACCATTCCCTTGTTTTCTGCTAATAAGGGTAGGTTATAGCTGCTAATTTTTGCAACAAGGTTTTGATCCAATAAAACATCTGTTATTTTCAGATTATTTGAATATACTCCAGGCACAATCCCTGTATGCAAAAATTGGATGCCCTTCGCGACACCTATTGCAGCAGCTATACGGTGTGTCCATTGAAGTTTTTGCCAGGCATGTCCTCCTGAGATTAAAAAGAAGAAAAGAAATGTCTGTCATCAAATCCAACAGAGACAGAGTAGTCTACACTTACTAAAATGCAGGATGCAGGAAACAAAATAACACCCAATTGGAACTATGTCGTGAAAGATTCATGAGTTGCTCGCAGTAACAATCGAGAGGTTGGTCAAAAGTTAACTCGCATCAAAAGCATGCTAAGCAATCATAGCACTCCCTGTATGTTCTCCATCCTGACAAAGTAATTGAGAAAATTTATGGATTACCACTCACCAGAGATCCAGCTTCTTAGCGTGCCATTTGGAACATATTCAAAAACTAGGAATATTCTGCTGACACTTGAATCATCCAAGTAACACTCAAAGCAGTGTCCAAGAGCACTGACCAAATGCCGATGTCTTAGTTTCGAGATCAGCTCTATATGGTGCATAAAGTTTTGGGTACTATGACTTCTTTTCATTTTTAGGCATCTGATAGCAACTAAGGAACCATCCTTAAGCCGCCCCCTATACATCTGAAACCACAAGACGAACCGCAAGGAATATCAGGAAATCTATTCATGGTTAATAAACAGCACGCATGCTAGGGAGGGGGTTTTCTGCCATTCAATTTACTGAAAGGTTGCTAGAGTCAAACCAATCATAAGAGCACGAGAAACAACTTGTTATAGATAAAACAGACCATCTTTCCGAACAAGCAAGGGATTCATTTTCAGAAACAATTTGTGAATTGTGATTGCTCAGTTGATCGAGGAAATTCCGTTGGCATGAACTTGAAAGAATTTTGCTGGCCCAAAATGCTTGAAGAATTCAAAAAAGCTCATGCTCGGAGGCAATTATGAGAGTATCACAGGCTAATTCAACTGAATGAAATACAAAGAATATGTTACAACGGATTTGCATTACCTGCCCTTGAGAACCTTCACCCATGAAAGCAGATGTGTCAAAATTGTTAGTGGCCTCCTCTAACTCTTCTAGTGAAAAAGTACGATACGGTGGCAGGCCAAGTGCTCCCAGCTTCATTGTTTGAGAAATATACCCTTCATTTTTTGCCAAAAATAAAAAAGAAAAAGGAACTGTAAAATACTCTGCTCTTCTTATTAGTTAAATTATTACGTATTCCTTCTATGTTTTATAACGTGCTAGAACCTCACCAACTTGTCTTTTCTTTCAAGAACACTTTTAGATGGGCTGCCTGAAAGTACGTCAGCAAAATGTATGTGAAGTCCTTTCTTATGAGAATGAATTTGGAGCAATAAACCACTTTCTCAAACAATTGAAGTGATGATTACGGCATTCTTCATATATATATATATATATATAAGAAGAAGAAGAAGAAGAAGATTATCATCACCTAAATTTCATAAATTTGGCAAGGGATTTACTAGAATATACTTATTTGGGGATAGGAAAGGGATATCTTAAATGGATACTAGTTGAGCACTCATCATTCCATCTCAGTTATACTTCACATTTCCTTATTACTGACAGAATTCTTAGATTTCGCTACTATGCATGCACGACTTCATAAAACAATCTATAGCCACATATAGTAGACAAAGAGCATAAGCACAGGCAGAAATGAAAACTTACTTGCATCTGGGAGCAAATTTGAAGGGTACCCTGTTGACGCGTTCTCTGTAGTTAGTCTAGTATTTGGTCTCTTGATTGTCTTCCTTGATTTCACCTTTCCGACGGCTAAGTAAATTAAACTAACAAGGGCAATGCCTCCAACAATCCCTCCAATGACACCGAATGCAATAGTTTCTTTAGAAGCTTTCCTTTTCTTTCTCTGGGGCAAAATCCCAACAGCTAATGCTTCATTACGACAGAGGGAAATAGGGTGTTGGTTTTCATCACCAGTTGCCAGACAGTTCGCGGCGTACAAGACCTTTCTCTTGGAGTCTTGCAGAAGACAATTTGGCAAATTTCCAGTCATAAGATTTGAGGACAGATCCACAAACTCAAGGTCAGCACTGCAAGACTGGTTTTCGAAAAGCATTCCTGTGAACTTGTTGTCTGCAACATTCAAGTAAGTTACTGAAGGCAATGACAATAATGATTGTGGAAATGGTCCCACAAATTTATTATTTGAGAGATCTAGCCGTTGAAGCTGATAATAGGAGGTCACTTCATCAGGAAGGCCATCCCTGAACTCGTTCTTGCTCAACACAAGAGAAACTAACTTGTTTCCAAGCAGAGGAAACTGCGGTCCAAGAGCATTATCTTCCAAATCAAGCACTTGAAGGTTTGTCAAACTGCTAAGATCAGGAACTTCTCCTCCGAAGTAGTTATGCGAAAGCACTAGAACTCTAAGATTATCCAAATTACTCAATGAATCTGGCAATGAACCGTTGAGCATATTCTTCTTGAGACTCAAGACAGACAAAACTGGAAGTAAACCGATCCAATTTGGCAACTCACCAGCAAACATATTATCGTCAAGAACCAGTGATTGGAGGGCAGCGAGTGATGAAATTTCTTGAGGAACAGCATCGTATAGGAAATTTGAACTCACATTAAGTATTTCCAATGAAGACAGACGTGCAATTTTACCAGGGAAGGGACCCCATAAACCCAGAGAAACTAATGTCAAGACTTTCAAGTTCGGCAGACCAACAAGCGTTGTGACAAAGGAATCAATTGAAAAGTTTCTAGGCAAAAGAGGAGTTCCCTTGTTGCCAATAATATGCAGCTGTGTTATGCTGTTCTCATAGCATACCACAGTTACAGAAGCATTTGGTTCGGTATTGCAGAAGTCAGTGGTGATATTCCAACTGCTTAGAGCAGATGGATAGTTCAAAAGCCGCTGAATTCTTAAAAGGGTTTCACCCTGGGAGGATTGTAATTGATCTGAACCACTAATTAAAAGCACAAGGACAACGCCGAGTAGGATTGCAAAACATTGGAATGCCTTAGACATTTGTTGTGTGTAAAGAATCAACACAAGGAGCAAGGCATAGAAGATGTTGACGAGCTCTCAAGAACTGGGAAATGGGCATCAGCTGCAAGTTTGCAAGTAAAAACAGCAGGTTGGTATTGAGTGTTGTGCCATGAACTAAAAAATCTTAGAGCTCCAACTATTGATGCAAGGCCAAAATAAAACAAACGCGACCCACTCTTTGTAGCAGATCATAGAAAAAATAGAAGACAACAATTATCCTTTCACTGTAAACAATTTATAGATTGTTACTCTTTTCTTAGACGACAACAACAAATGTTTGAGAAGTTTGTTTAGTTTCACAGCAATGAAACATCTAATCAGCAATGCATGTTCAAATTTCAATGGAGAAGCTTACCTCACAGAGTGGATATTCAAACCAGTTTCACTTCACTGGAAGTGAAGAAGCCTTTAAAATGATCTGGAAACGAAACTACTGCCCATTCCATCCCTCTAAAAATCTTCAAGAATACAAGGCAAGTAGAATCAAATCCAAACCCTCAAGTTTTTCTTGAGCCCTGTAGCAAAAAATAAAAAAGCAGACTACTGGATGGTTATGACTTCATAGTGAAGATAAGAACCCCTCAACAAGCTACAAAGGAATCTCCAAAATCAGGACAAAAATTAATCCTCAAAAATTCCTCAAAGCCAGTTCAGACTACGCACATTTACTTGAATTTCACACCTAGCAACATCCAATAGCCCAACTAACAACCTCCTTCCCAATCCTCAAAAAGAAGGAAATTTAAGAAGACTTGAGTGTTCATCAAACTCTGTAAGACCACCCACAGGCCACTTCAACAACTCGAAAAAAGCTCTGCTACCATGCACTCATAGACATGTCAACGAGGGTCCTCTAAATCCTACTGACACACTCCTTTCTACATGCAACGACAGGCAATTTAATGACAGGGGTGCTGAGAAAACATGGAAGAACCGTAACATACCTGCAAATTAATGCCACGACTTTTCTCTCTCTCTTTACTCTCAGGATCAATAAAAGAACACCAACAGTCTTTCATTTAAGTGTATTATTTTGCAGTTATTTATTTCATGTGCTTTCTTTCGAAGTCTAAAGAGACGGCCATGAAAAAGAAAAAGGCAAAGATTCTTGTTGCAGAAGCAGAAGAGAAACCTTTATTCCTTGCATGCAACAATTCAGCTGTGATTTAAATTTTTTATTTTTTTTTCCAAACATTTTCTGTCATATTATTCTTTGCCAAAAAATAAAAATAAAGGACAGACTGTAATGTAAGCTTTCACTTTCTGGGTCAGGCAAAGCTCTGGCTCTCTATGGTCCTGTCACCTTGTACTGTGGACCCACTATGGCTACAAGTGTATAGACTGTAGCTTTTGGATCCTTGCTTGCTATTTCTCTGCAACTAACAGTAAACGCGTTTCATAATTTCATTTTAAATTTATGATGCTTGTCCATTACAATCAAAGGAGTAGGAGCAAGCAATGCTCCATCGCTTTCTGCAGCTCACTCCAACCACTTGTTCTCTTCTTTTTTAATTTCCTTTTGTGTTATTCTTTTAATATATTTAATCTCACATGCATCATGTCCTTATTAATTAATTTTCTGCCATGGTTATGAGCCTATGACCTTGAAATGATGCAGCATAGCTAATGTGGTATATATAAAAGCTGAGAAAGGACACTGCAACTTGGTATTATCCTTGAAATAACTGTAGCTGCATCTTAACAACCCTTGATTTTACTCTTGGATTTCTTCTCATAGACAGTTTATACCTTTTTTCTTATACAGGAATGCACTAAGAAATGCATTGATTATAGATTTGACTTGATATAGTCTTTTTTTTTTAAATTTTCTGAACATTGTAAGCTTTATCTAGAGGATGAAAAGAGAGAGTTTGAACTCATTGCAAGCATCATTTAGAACCAGAGCGCACTATGAAGCTATTAAAACATATATAAAATTCCAGAAAATGGAAAATGGTCTGCATTGTCAGGGAAGGGAAGGTCAGACAGATACAGAAACTCATGGAAACTCCAGCTATTCCCCACATGCTGGGGATCCAATCTTCAAAGCTAGAATTGAAACCTTGAATAGCACCATGAATAAACTATCCTTTCCATGCCTTCCAGCTTAGAAGGTAGTTAAAATATTTTTTATTTATAATAATATTTTTTTATATTTTAAATATTTACAAATTAAAATATTAAAAAATAAATTTAGGTAAAATAAATTTTTTTGTCAAACAGTGTTTCCCATATGCTACCCAATTAGCCATGGATTTAATAATTGTACCTTCCTCAATAATTGAAATTTCTCAAACTAATTGACTGAATGGTGCTGGGCCACAAAGAGTAATTATAAGAGATTCAGCAATCAACTTTGAAATAATTTGAAGTCCCTTTCTCAGTGTCTTACTGGGCAATTATATATATATATTGGAAGTGATGGTCTTTGATGCTAGTGGATGGAAGGACTAAATGGTATAGAAACAATAAGTTGAGGGATGACTTTGTGATTAAAAAAATCAAAACGCTGGAAGTGATGGTCTTTGATGCTAGTGGATGGAAGGACTAAATGGTATAGAAACAATAAGTTGAGGGATGACTTTGTGATTAAAAAAATCAAAACGACTAAAATAAAAAATGAAAGTAGGGTGACGACGTGCACACTACCAAAAAAAAAAAAAAACAAACAGATAGCATTTCAGAACTTTTAGAGATTTAATTGTTTCCACCATTACAAAAAATTATTTACTAGAAAATATTTTTTTGATCAAAAAAATATTTAGATTGATTTCAGCAAAGTATTTTTTTATTTTAAATGAAATATGATTTATACAAGCTGGAGATAATTAAAAATTATCATGATATTTGTTCAGTATATTAAATATGATTTTTAATTTTTTGATTGCTATATATTGTTTTTATAATTTTTATTTTATTTTATGTTTAAATTTCATTATGTTTCAATTTTTTTATTTGACAAATATGATTTTTATTTTTATTTTTTATATATATTTTAATTTTATCCTTTTTTAACTTTTCATATATCATACCTTATTATCTTGATTTACTATTTCTTTTATTTAAGATTGTATATAAAACCAGAAATTTCTTTCTTGTAGTAAACTTTAAAAAATAAATTAAAGCATTAATAAGTTATTTTCTACTTTATTTTTCATAGCATAACTAAACACTATTTCAATTTATTTTTTATGATATTATTAAATGACCAAAAATAATTCACTTTATAAAAATTTATTTTTTAAAAAAATCACTTTAAAAAAAAAAAAAAAATTTAACAAACAAACAAATACTAAACCCACCTGTGAAAGTGGAAAAGAAACCAAGAAGACAAAATCCCAAGCATGAAATTGAGAGCTTTTATCATGGCAATGTAAGAAAAGAAAAGGTGGGTCTGGGTGTTCCTGCTCAGCCCACAAACCATGTCCCCTTCCTTTTTCCTGTAACTTTCATAGGTGTAATTATTTCCCAGGAGAATTCAAGAGGTCCTTTTCTTCATTATTGAAAATTCACTTCAAGAATATTTCAATATTAGATTTGGCCGTCCTTTAAGAACTTAAAAGTTAAAACATCAATGGCCAAAAAGTCTTGAGAATCGAAATTTCATGTTTATATGATTATCATCATATTACTCCCTATCCTTTCACAAATTCTTAAAAATACCCTAATGTTTCACGACGAAAATGGATTAGATATATTGAATCGAGCTAATTTTTATATAAATATTATAGATATTTATGAGTTGAGGTTATATTGCTAATTTTCATGATTTAAAAGTAACATAAACAATAAATATCAACACCCCTAATTTTAAAACTAATTTTTAGACCTTGTACTATTGTTAAATTCTAGCTATTTTTTGTTTCTTTTTAATAAAGAGACAAGTTTTTTTTTGTTACATAAAAAGAAATCTAATAAGAAGCAAGCTAGCAAGAGCTTTGGACCGAAATATTTTTAAATAGAAATAAATAAATGCTAAATTCACAAACTATTAAATATAAATAAAAAATAAGTACAGAGTATATATGTTAGGTTAAGTTAACTAGTTTTTAAAAATTTCAATTTAATTTGTGGTATATATTTTTAAAATTATTTTAATTCATTATCATCTATAATATATATATATATATATATGTATTATCTGATTTTAATAGGATAAATTAGATCAAATAGTACAAATAATATAACTTCTTGGTTCTCTAGACGGAGAGGTGTTGCACTCAGTAGTGTTGTGACCACTTCATTGCACCTTGTCTTCAAAGTAGGTTTAGATATTAATGTAAACAATTGTTTTCATATTCCCCTATGAAATAAAAGCTTAATTTTTAATTGAATTTCTTTAATTGTTTCCATTTATCTCATGGAAAATAAAATGAATACAACAAAAAATAACTTTCATATCATTTTCTGAAAATAAAAGATTATCAACCTTGAAGACCTTCATATATAAATAAGAGAGGCGGACACAATAATACTAAAGATTAAAGGTTAGACTTCTATCATGTTTGGAAAGCAGAGTAGTTATATGTCACCCTTAATTTTATTATCTTTCACGTATAACAAATTTAGTTTATCGTAACAAAAGTATTTTAATTAAATAAAATGTCCAAATATAAACTAGACATCATGCAAGTTTAGTTTATAAACTTGTTATATATATATATATATATATATATGAAAAACTTGCGATTAAAAAAAATAAAATATCCAAATATAAAATAAAAATCATACAAATTAAGTTTATAAGCTTGTAAATTATATATATCATAGCAAACATGTAATTAAAACTAACATCACATAAAGATTCTAAAATGCAAATATATCCAAAGCAGCATAAGACATTAAAATGCAATCCTAGCATGCATAATAATTATATAATATATTATTTTAAGCTAAAATAAAGTAAAATATTTACTTGTTAAAGAACTTTAAATGTAATCAAGCTTTGTTCTTGTTAACAATTAATTATTTATCCTTAAAATTTTATTCTTTGTCACTTTGATACAAATAGAATATTTACAATAAATCTCATAAAATTTCAACGACACTATATTATTTAAATACATTTCTAAATAAATATCAATAATACAAGAAAATAGACTTATATATCTCTCTACAAAGACCAAACTTAAGCTTTAGATTAGAAGGAAAGACACCTCAAAACAAAGAAGAAAAACACTAAAAATTGAGTAGAGAAAGAGTTGCATGATATGAAAAAATAGTGCTGAGAACTTTTTCTTTACTCCTTTTTCATAATGGATTTTGAAACCAAAACTAATAAATAAAGAATTAATTTTGATAATTATTAAAATTAATGTTTTTATCAACTTTGATTATTTACCACAAAATTATAATAAAATCTCACAATTTTAGTTGTAAATATGATAGTTTTTAGCTGAAAAAACTATAAAGAAGTTTATGGGAATTTATTTATATATATAATAAGCTGGTTAAAAATATTCTTCACGAGTAAAAGAATTACAAACCTAAACCCAAGTCTAGAAAAATAGATTAGCAACAAAAGATAATATTTTATAATCCAAAATAATATTTTATAATAAACCTAAATCCAATTATAAATCTAAGTATAAGTTGGTTGGCCACACATACGCATATAGATTAATGCATATATAGATTAATACTTAAAATTCATTTTAGATTGTATCATTTTATTATCAATTTTGATTACTCATTGTAAACCAGAATTAAAACTAACATTTTTTTTGCTTTAAATCTAACAGTTTAGACTCTTACATTTTTTTTGCTTTAAATCTAACAGTTTTTAGCTAAAAACATTATCCAAAAACTATTTAGGTTACTAAAAAATGATTAGACTCTTTTTGTGTGCTGGACATACTAATGTGCTGGCAAAACATATTTTATCATGGGCTAAAAGTTATAAACCAAAGCATAAATCCCAAAAAAAGGTTAATAATAAAAAATTATTTTATATAGTTTAAAAATTATTTTACAGTAAATTGAAATCAAAATTAAAACTTAGACTGCATGCATGCAATTGAGTTTAAAGTCTAAAACTTACTTTGCTTAGGTTTCTCACCTTTGTTACTAGAAATCATTCTTTTCATTATTAATGTTTATTATCTTCCAAAAAACTATAATTAAACTTGGTAGTTTTGACTTTAAATTTTACATTTTTTTCTTCAAAACTTATTAGACTTTGTTATTGGGCTGGACTGG